CGCATCCGTCTAATTCATATTTATCCACCCACTTCATTCAGCCTATGTACATTCATCCATCCATCTCGTATCCTTCCATCTATTACTTATCCATTCCGCATCCATTCAGCCATCCATACCTCCCTCATTCACGCGCTCCGTACATTTGTGACAGATGATAACAATTTTAGTCGCAGAAGCATTTTTTGAATCTTCACAGGTCCATATCCAACTGACAGTTAATGGAGCAAATACTCAGAGTGGCATAGTCGGATTTCGAGTAAAATGGGGTGGGGAAGTCAAGGCACGAATTTGACATGGACAGTGTGGGTGACGCGAACGAGGCCTCGGTCCTGGCGCTAATGTCGGCATCAACGCCCCTCCTTCTCCTCTCAGCATGTCCATCCAATGGGCACCCACCGCTCGAGGCGAGAGTCATTCACCAACTCAACGACCTCATCCACACTCTCCTCCACGGCTCGGTGGACCACGACTCGATCAACGTAGGGTCGGTAGACGTATTCCAGTACCTCGCTTTCTTGCACTAGCTGTGTCAGACTCCCGTCCTGAAATAACAGCAAGGGACAAGTGAAGGTTGTGAAGCTTAACGACTGAGGAAGCATGTCTACAGGCAAAGTGTCGTTGTTCAGGTGGCTTTCCTGCCTCCTGTTGGGAGTAGCTTCGGCTTCGATTTCTAGGATGATTTTCTATCTCCAGGCTAGTCCACGAGCTCCTTAGCACCGGCGACGAAGTAATAGAAAGAATCAGAGGTAGAGTAAGTGAATGTCACGGGGGAGAGGGGTGTAAAGGGTTTACATAAACCGGTGGAGAGGTTGGGTGATTGACAGAATCAGAAAAGGAAGAAACGCCAGAAAAAGACGGGTAAAATCACAAATGGAAACAAAAAAATACATGCATTTGGAGGAGGAATGAATTTGACCAATGAAACCGCAACCGCTTACTAAGGCATCAAAAGCAACTTCGCCGGAGGAACTTCAGGGGACTTAGATGACCTACTGGTAGCGGATCAAAAGATGGAAGAAGGCTGACGAAGCTGATGAGCGACAAAATGAAGGAAGAAGAGGCAAAAGGGTAAGGCGGAGGGGGAAAATGTGCAACTATGTGGGGCAAACGATTTGATTTTGATAAACGAGCATGAATCGTGAGACAGCGGTTGAAGTAAATTGCGGGGGAAAAACCAGTGAAAATGCGGAACCATCCAGGCCAAAATGAGGTTAAAAAGAGTTGTTAAATGCTTGGAGGGAGAAAAAGAAGATTAATTACGAGGAGCTAGGAGGATGAGAAAATAGTGGACAAATTGGGAAAGTAAAAACAGAAGTCCGACTACGAAGCCTCGGTGGTGAAAGTCGGACCAGAGAAGGGGATTTCGTGGCGGAAGTAATGCGTGTACGAAAGCGGGAGATTTTGGGGAAAAAATGAGGCAATAGGAGCCGGAATATCAATGCTGAATACGCGGAGGAGAAGACTGAACAAATCCGAAGCAATCAATGCCAGTGAATGTGCGTGTCACCTTAGAAACTTTTACAAGTCACTTACCAGCATGTCATGCTGTCCATCCTGACTCAACAGTCGACTTAACGGCGGTGGCACCAATAGCACCACCAACGGTGCAAACTCCGCTGATCGAAGGATTCGCAAAGCCCGCGGTTCCACATCTAACACCGGCATTCGTCCAGTTGCTATGACATCCCGAACACTGTCCAGTCGAATACCGAAGAGGATGTTCTTGCGTTGGCCGTACTCGAGAAACTCCCTGCTCACAATGTCTGCCGCCATCTCTTCCTCCTGCACAAAATAGTAGTGCTCCCCATTGCGCTCATTTGCCTCGGGTTTGCGTGTGGTGTCTGTTGAAACAAATAGCCAATCAGGTTGGAGGAACATTGAATAGGTGATACGGCATTCCCATTGGTTGGAAAGCAATCCCGGAAAGAAAGTGTTTGCCCCAAATTATTAGTTAGGTAGAAGTAAATTTCAAATGGTTAAGTGGAAATGTACGTAGCCGCATTGTTTCACTTTGTAGTATAGTATATTTCCTATTCGGGTCAACCTGAGGCTTCCGATACCTCAGACACACTAACAGTAGTACGTGACAAATCTCGTGTGTCTTCCTCCAATCCTCAGCCATTACGTAGCCAGACAGCACTTGTAAAGATGCACAAAGTCTTGGGAACAAAATAGGTACAGCCCGAGCGAGTGAATTTGAGCTTGTATATCCACATTAGGTGTGGCGGAGGAGGTGTATTCCATCTGTAAACGTATGTGTAAGGTGCTGAAGGGACACTGGGAAGTAAAATGCGAATCTCGGATCATCCCATGCCCTTGCACTTGTCAGCCTTGAACCCAAGCGTCCGGGCATGCTGTTCCAGTACCTGTTCTTTTATATCTGGATAACTCCTCCCATTTTCTGACTTTAGAACGAGTCTAACATTGAAAGTGAAGTATTACTGAATAGTACATTGCAGACATAGATTTTAGCGAAACCCACTAATTTTTCACTCTTTGTGAGTAGTCGAATTGACAAAAAGAATGAGCGTTAAGCACTGTCATTTATGAGCAATGAAATTTTCCAGCTGCACTGATAATTTTTTCTCTGAGTTTGTATCAGAAGTGTTAAGCGGTAGTTACGCTACTTGAATGAAATTCAGTAGCACTTTATTACCCGTGCAATATGAAATCAATTGGTCCAATTTGATGTCTACATAGCTTGGCAAAAATTACGGTCCTACAAAGGCAAGAAATTGGCCTTAGCAATGCACACTCGAGTAGTAAAGTAAATGAAGTCCTTTTCTTTCTTTTTGTAAAAGGAAATCTCGGGATATTCTTCGAATAATGCCTTCTCTGAATGGTAGGAAAACTCGCTTAGTTGTTTCATTTGCTTTAATGAGACTCCAGAGACTAATTTACAGTAAATCAGCCTCAATACCTCTTCCAGTCAAATTGTCCTTTACCACAATTTTAAAAGGTCATGTGAGAAAATTAGTTTTTAATTCAATTTAATGGCTTGGAACTGGGAAATCCCAAGGCTGAATAACAGCTTCAACTTTGTGTTTTGGCTAAAACTTTTTTTTTGTTTGCCAAATTGTTTGTTGTTTTTGCGCATCTACTCAGTAGATGGTGAAATCGAAAACCGCCCGTGTCCGCTCGACTTCTGCAGGTTCAAACGGTTCTTTTGATCAGCAAAATTATCCGATTTTGACAAACAAGTTCAGTTTATTTTCATCCTTTAATTTTAGAAAAAACTAAACCGGTAACGAGCATTTTTGTGTTAAGATGCATGTCTTCTTACGATTATATTCCTTTTCCACTTTTGAGGTCTTTTTATGCTTTTTGTTTCTTTAAGGCAATTTGACGCTCTGAGATAAAGTACTCTTGTATCTCCGTGGTCTCTGTCATTATTTTTGTGTTAGGATAATCCTTCCACCATCGCATTAGCCCATTTCTTATTTATGCTAATGAAAAAGCGGCTTCCGCACCGATACTCCTCATTTCCCATTCAGGGATGATTCAGTGCCCTACCCTGATGATCGAGGGGAGCATGCATAACCAAGACGGGCGACTATTCAGATTTAATTAAGTCAAAGACTGTGGATGGTTGATGTGGTTGCGAAACTGTCAGCAGGCTGCCTGACCGCATGTCCAAGGATAAGACGGCTTATAGCCCAGGTCAAGTACATAATGCTCCGGCTCTCCTGGATATTGCCGCACAAAGTATCGTCGAAGGGACTAGTTTTTTGTAGTACTCATTGCTTGGACTGTGATTTCCAGAACAGATACTGCCACCAATTAGTTTCCGTCTTCCGAGGCTGTTAAGCCCTCGTGTTGACCTTGTTTCTGTCTTGCAGGTAACTCTACACCTCTGGGAGACAAGCTCCAAGACCCGAGGAGGGCTGTGTAAAGTAATACCAGTTGTTTATATGATTGATACTTTAGTCTTTGCGTCTCCTCGCTGATGACGCAGAATCTACAGTCAACGGGCCAACTCCAGAGAGTAGTTTATCGCAAAAAACGGGAGGAGATCAGTTAAAATATTCCTTTTCCTTCCCATGTGCGAGAGGCTTTCCTTAAACTGTACTAGAGGAAAATGCACGGAGAGGATTTCAACGCACCATTTCGTCTCTATATTCCTCCTCCAATTAAATTATTACGAACAATAAAGCCAAATGAGAGCTTTGGAAGTCTTTTTGTTAATCCAAAAGAGGTAGGATGATCAAGGCTTTGGGTGATTTGTAGGGAGGTTACGTTACTGTATTACTGAGTCCAGAAATTCTCTAGTCTACTGCTGCAGCATTCTACTGCTCTTATTTTTAATTCTTACAAGATTTCGTTTGAAGAAGTTTGATGGATGCAATTTTGCCTGGTCTTTTTTTCGAGGTGTGCTTATCTCGGTTCCAAAGCCGATTGCAGTAGTATTTGTAGATGGTGCGGTGCATGGTGGCAGAAATCGTTCCGCCCACAATGAAATGGTACGGGTAAGGCATCACTCGGACGTAGATGTATCATTTCAAGGTAAGAGGAAGATGTGGGGGGGAGGGGGTTGGAGAGAACTCCCCAATCTTGGTCATGAAAAATTAACTTGCATTATTGGCTGCAGTGACTAAAGTCCTCCCTCTGATGTGGAAACAGGTCACACGTAAATCATCCAGTGGGTGTCACAGTGGGCTTTAAAGTCCATCGACCTGCTGAAAATAGATGGTCTTTCAAGTGGTCGGTCCGATCTCTCCGCGGCCAGGTTCTGCAGTGCGCCACCTTGCGTCGTCTGGTGTGAATACCATATCTTTTTCTAAGAAAAGCTTTTCCCCACACAGCTTCCAATTTTGTCGTGAAGATGGATATCACGCTAACCTACCTGATTTACACCACAAGGGGCATGCTGAACAACTGCATCTGGAATGCACTCCAAACGGGGAATGAAGTACTTCATTCCTTTGCAATGCAGGGTGGATGGCGGGTGATGTGCCCTTTCTTTTCTCCTGGCACCCTGAATGCCGTCTCCTATCACAAGTTAGTCAGCGTTTGATAGGATTCCTTCAAAGATGAAGCAGAACACCTTTGGCGTTTAATTTTCGTGGGTGGAACCCATTTAGTTAATGACCTTCACCACCTACTTCGCCTTACTAGTGGATTTAGGCATTGGCCAATTGTTCCTGAAAGCAATTTATTTCTTACTTGCTTCACCTAGTAATGGCCGCCGTAGCCTAAGTCTCCCTCCAGCAGCATTCCTTTCAGGCCTTTTGGATTTTGCTCTACGTCGATTATAACGCCTTCTTATTCGATGTCGGGGAGGACTCGGGCTATCGCCTCAATCACCTCAATCACGCCTTCGTACGCAACGGCTGCTGCTTGGAGGAAGAACGACTTTTTATTTATAGGAGCGCCGATCAGAACCAAATAAAGGTCGCAGTATGACCTTGGAGTTACTTCTCACACTCATGATTTCCGTCACTTAAGCAGGCGGGGAAATCTGGCCAACTTACGCGGAATGACATGAGCAAAGAGGTCAGGTCGGCCTCGAACCAGAGCTTTTCGTAGAGCTCGCCGACCCACTCCATGGGCACCGAGAATGACGAGACAACGATGATGAAATTCGTGCACCTTTGTTACCTCCTCGTAGGCGGTGAAGGCGACTTCGCTGAAGAGAAATGCTGCACATTCACTCCATCGAGGTGGACGTCTGGACGTTCCTGCTGATGTTGTTGTCGTCGTCGTTGTGGTTGATGTCGAGGTGTTGGTCTAACGCGGAAATTAAGAAGGTATATAGGTTAAAATATATTTACTGTGTATTTTTAATCACAAAGGCCTCATCAACCAATCAGCGTTGAGGACTTTTTCGTCAGGTTGCTAACTATAGCGCCTTGGGTCAGATTTGGATGGATCAATGTTCCATGGACTAGGTTGATTAAATTGATACTCAACACAGATTTTGGGGATGTCTCTACCTCCAGAGATCTTCTCCTAGGGTAAGTTGTGGTTATAAATATTTCTGAAGGCAGATATGACATGTCCGAAGCAAATCTCCTCTCACCAAAGGATTAACTGGATCTGAAGTGGCGTCTGTAACCTTGAAGGAAAAAGTTCCTGTCCCAATTTACTAAAGGTTCGCCTCTCTGTGTCAAGTTCCCGTGCCCCTCCTGATTGGACAAAATCACATGCAGATGTGCTACGAGGTCAAGGTCAACCAGGTACCACAGATGCACGGGATTGAAGACCGTTTGATAGTTCCCACACTCTCCATTAACCATTCGCCTATCATGTACACACGCAACCGTCCTCCTCTGATTACTCCTAGCCGTTGGCAAAGGCAGTTGCTGTAGTGAAGGCAACGTCGACTGATTTCGTGGATTGGGCACTTCCCAGTATACCAAGTCAAATGGGATTATTCTGGAACACTGTGGTGGAATTGATCTATGTCTTGTCTACACTTCTGAAAGCGCCCGCTTCAGTGCGCGGCATCCAGTCCGACCTCCCGACTGCTATTCTGGATAAATCATGCACAGCCGATGTTGTTGTCGACAGACCTTTCTCACCCAGCAGGAAGTAGCTATTTGCTGTGGCCGGAGAAATGCGCAGAGGCGCATTTGAATTGACGTCTTGACGCCAGTCCAAATTCGTCTTTCCCATAAAGCCGATTACTGAGCCTTGGCGAATTTGTCCACGACTCCTGCTGCAAGATGTCCTCAAAGGCAGAGCAGTCTACACCTGTTTCCCAATCAATCTGACTTCGGCAAGCCTGTGGGTATGGATCCTGACTAATTGCCAACTTGAGTAATCAAGAGACGGGGCCCTCCATGTCGAGGAGGAGGAGGAGGAGGAGGAGGAGGAGGAGGAGGAGGAGGAGGAGGAGGAGGAGGAGAGAGAGAGAGAGAGAGAGAGAGAGAGAGAGA